ATGTGGTGCTGAGGATCGAACCCGGGCCGCACGCATGCCAGGCGAGCGCGCTACCACTTGAGCCACATCCCCAGCCCCAATGTAGGTGTTCTTTAACCTAATGTGACCATTGCAGATCATTTGCATGTATCAAAATATCACATGGTACCCTGTTAGTATGTATTATTTTTACATTTTATACATCGTGTAGCTATACATTTAAAATAGTTTCCCATATTCTCTAAATTCATAAACAACAACTGGACAAATAGCTATATTTATGAACCTAATTAATACATTCTGAGAATGCCAGGCTTTCTCATTTTTATTTCATTTTCTATAGGCTCAGTAATTCTTCTGTATTTTTTAAGGTTTTATTTTTCTCACTTAATATATTTTAGCACATTACTAAATGTGCTAAAATGGTTCCTGTTCAGAAGACAGGAAGGTGATTAGGGTGATTAGGCTGGTGATTTATTTTGTTGTGGAGCAGTGATTGGCAAATAGTAGTTACTGTAAATGTTTGTGTGAGTGAGTGAAAAACTATCTACAACTCTAAAAATGTGTACGTGATCAATAAAGATAAGGAATTCTGCCAGGTGACCTGCAATTAATATTGTGTAAGAAAATTAGCTTGAGGCACAAGCTACATATTAAATATAAGGATTCTTAAGAAATATTACTGTGGCTACAGTAAGTATGCTGTTAGGAGCTGGGAAGACCACAGCAAATAAAATATTGCAAAGTTCCGGCTATTAGGGGCCTTGCATTATAGTATCCAGGGTTTAGGAAGAAGAAATGTGTTATAGAAAAGTAAAAAACCTGTGGATGGGGAAAGATGGTAATTGTTAGCTAATAGATATGGAGAGAACCTCCCTTCAGGTCTTGGCAGAATGAAGGATGATGTGCCTACACTCTAACCTCAGCAGTAATGCTGAAGTAGGATAAATGGACATGGTCTATGGTTACTCTTGACCCATTTAGAAGAAGCTATTTGATTTAATGTGTAACTGGATCTTTTCACAATCATTCCTTATATAGTAGGAATCTTTTTTGTACTCAGAGATTAACAGAAACTACATTTTTTAAAATATTTTTTTTACTTGTAGATGGAGACAATCCTTTTATTTATTTATTTATTTATTTGTTTTTATGTAGTGCTGAGGTTCGAACACATTGTCTCGTATATGTGGTATATGTGAGGCAAGCACTCTGCCACTGAGGCACAGTCACATCCCCAGAAACTACATTTTGAAATAACAATAAAGCAAGCAAAAATGGGACAGAATGGTGACAACACTTGACATTCTTTTTTGAATAAGTATCTCAAACCTGGGAGAGCAAAATAATCATAATGGAAACTGTCACATTGCAAAGTCCTTCTGATACTAAAGTAACACCAAGCTAGATGCTATTATAGAAGAGCAATGTGAACAGGAAATGACATGTGATTGCATAGAGTGAAATCAGGTCTTGGGGGCTGCTAGATTTGGTCTCATGTGAATTTATATAAATATTAAATAGTTTTTAGTGGGGTAAAGGGCAACCTTCTCAAAATGTTGTACCCAGTTCCTATCAGAAGAAACTTTGAATTTCTTATGTCTTATTGTAGGCTAAATTGACTAAGTTCTTTAGGTTTTCATGGTCTGAGAGAAATTTGCATAAAAATTTTACATTTCTGAAGTTATGTTAATGGAATCAATGGCAAATAAAATGGATTATAAGTTAAAAGACAACTTCTCAATGTTTCACTCTCCTGTCACTCTGCAGATGAGACCTGTTGGTGGACTATACATCCTGCCTTGAAGCAGTGATCAGAAGGAGAGAAACTATGGGTTGGAGGTGATCTCATCCTAGTTAGCAAGTCCTTTGAGCAATACTTGGTAAGTGTGCACCTTAGGACCATGGGCTTAGTGTAATGATAAAGGACAGTACAATGAGACGGTCTCTTTAGGGTTTATATTGCTATTTTTCTGGGAAAATTGCTGTTGTACAAGCCTGTACCTCTATATGATGAGTTATTAACAATGAGTAGGAGAGGGAAGTGGCCTGAGTGGAAGTGCTTACCAGGTCTTTCAAGCAGCCTTCCTCATGCACTTGATTGAAGTGTATGTTCATGGTCCTGAGAGCACACCTGTAAATGGATTCTTCTATGAATAGAATGTAAGCTCAGTATTATCAAAAGTTCCAATCCCTGGTCTTTATTTTATGCTTAATATAAAGGCTATATTAACAAGATTGTGATTACCTATTTTTATATTTATGAAAGAAAATTATTACATCAGGAAAGCTTGCCATGTTAAGGAGAAATAGACAGAGTATAGGGGCCAGAAGTGGGAAAATGAAGGGAAAGTTCTGTTTAATCATTGGATGATTTTGACCTTTTTTTGATGAGGGAATTGTATATTTAATTTGACTTATTTAGTAAGTTGTAGTTTTGACAATCCTATGGGTAAATTCACAGAATATTGAAATCCATGGATCTGTAAAGGATTCCAGTGCAAAACATTCTTTTATTTTAAGGTTGAAAAGAAATTAAACATAAAATGGGACATTGTGAGCTTTGCATGAATACCCACATGAAATATCTGAGTTGTCGTGGGTGATTTCAGAAATAGAGCACATTGAAAGCACAACATGGATTCTAGAGAGTGCATTGCCAGTGACATGAATCAAAATGTTGTTTGTGTGTACCTAAGTAGGAATGAGTCGGCATTTATATGCTCTATAAATGTGGAACTAGAGTGGCTTTGAGGTAGCTGTAAGTGTCTTGGGTTACCAGCACCTTCAGTTTCAGTTTTCAAATGTTTCTAGGAAGCATGGCTTTGTTTTCCTGTCTCTATGGAGAAAGGTGATGATGAAGACAGGGAAACTATAACTGTGCTCTGTGTCACTGGCAGGGACTGTTAAGTTAAAAGGAGCATCTGCTGGTGCACAGCTGCTGGAAGGCCTGAGCATTTCTGTGCTCATTTCCCCTAGCTGATGTGCATGGAAACAGTCACCATGCCAAATTCTGGAAGAGCGTAGGTGTGCAGCTTGTAAAGTAAGAATCTTTCAAGTCCTTGTTATGTGCATGTGTGTGCTGCAAGGTGATGCATTTATTGGCTCAGGAGATGTACAGTTGAGCTGGAGTTGTCTTTGGAAACCAGTTGAAGTGGAACTAATTCATGGAAATTTCCATATACAAATTCTACATGTATCATATTTTGACTTTGATTATGAGTCTTCATTTGTTGTTGTACAACTTGTATTTTTCATTATATAACAGAGTTTATTGGACAGGGTATTATTCACCAAAGGAATGGAAAATCAGAAGCCAAGGCTTCTAATGTCAGTTCTGCAGCTAACAAACTACCTGAGCAAGTCATGTCACTCCTTGAACTCCAGCTTCCTTGCTTGTAAAGTGAGGTTATTGGTAATAACAGAATGTAGAGCCAAGATATTGACAAGAGGCAGTGACATAATGATTTTGTACAAAAATTTAAATACATACAGGCAAACAAAATAACAAACAGAGAAGTAGCATGATGCACAATCCATGGTTCACCATCAACAATTCTCTCATTTTGATTCTATGGCACTTTCATCTTATTGCCCCTTCATATTAGCTTCTGGTTGTTCCTTATTTGCATTTAGTAGGGGCAAATTTTCTGTACATTTCAACATCAAAGCTTAGCTGTAGAGTTTTGACAGATGGTTGCACTGGGGCTACCCAGACACATACCTCCATGTGAGACATTTCCATTTTCCTTAAGTTTCCCCAAGAAAGTTGCCAAGCGTTCCCTCCCAAAGTTGCCCCTGCCTCTTTGACCAGAGAGATTTTTTCACTCCTGATTCATAGAAGTCACAAGTTTTGCATCCTTAGGAAAACTGATGTTATTTTTATATGTATGAATTCTCTTGCTTATCTGATTTTACTTAGCTTTTTAAAAGTTAGCAATAATTGCTGAATTTTTTTCAATTACAGGAGATAAAAATCATGTTTTAGGGTCCTTGTTTCATTGATAAATAAGTTACCCATATACCCAACTGTTGAAAAATCCCTACATTCATAGAATAAGCCGTAGTTGACCATAACGTGCTGTTATTTTGAAATCCTACTAGATTTGTATGTATTTATTTTATTCAGAATTATTGACTATATTCATAAGGAAAATTAAATGTTTTATTCATACCATTTTCATATGTTATGAAATGTCATTTTTCTTTGATACTGAGCTACCTTGTTGGAAGTGTCCCTGCAGGAGGGCAAACTCTAAGGCTCATTGAACTGTGCACTTCAGATTTATGCATTTACCTCTCCTAATGTTACCATTTCAAAGAAAGTTGAAAACATAGAGCCTAATAGAAGAGCTAACAAAAATATTCGGTTTTGAACTTCAAGGCTTCAGAACTATTGCTAGGTGCTTGGTGATTGGTCAGCTTCCTGGGAACTACTGTGAAGCCTGTGATGCTGTAGGAGTGGGAGGCAAAGTGTAATTTCCCTATTGAAGCTTGTTCACAGTTTTCTGAGGCCAGAGATCATGTGTTGAATGTAGATATGTGGATATTCCCTGCTGTTTGTTTTATTCAAGTCAATATTTACTGAATCATTTTGTAAAATAATAACTGAATGAATATATTGAAAGCTAGTTTGTACAGGGTGCTGTGTGTGTTATTTAATCTCAACACAATGGTATTGGGATGCCTCCACCTACCTTTTGATTCTGTTTCTGTTACTGTTCAGTGATTTCAGAGCACATCATGTTGACACTGGCTTGGAAAGGGGATTCCTGGAATGAAGGCATCACTTCTGCATTCTTACAGGCTATTTATTATGCACCACGAAGGCCACCTGGATGATGGCTTAAACTTTTCTAGATCTCAGCATGAAGAAACACACACAGCCCAAGTCATCTGGAGCAATGTCTCACTTTTCAATAGATTTATAAGGTACTTTTGTTTTTGTTGTCCTGTTACTTTGATATTTCATTTTCATTTTCTTTCTGTGATTACAACTACCGAATTTCAAAGTGTAAACATACATTGAGGGAGTTGAACAGACCACAATACAAAATACTACTTAGATAATTGTGTTTTTCTTTTAAGTGAAGGATAAAGGAATGTGGTTTTAGAAGTTGTGCATGTAATTTTTAATTGAGAGCAACAGGTTGGGATTACTTTGCAACTTGTTTTTGTGTAAGCCTGACTTAATTCCCTTTTGCAGAGAGAATAATGAAGACTTATATGCTTTTGAAC